AGTGAGGGAGGGAAGGGGGGTGGTGGTGTTATAATCAAGCAATGATTGAAATTCAAATTGCAACTTTTGAATCAACAATCCATTACTTGTTTCAAGCAGAGAATATAAGAATTCGCTATATATTAGTTAAACCTTATTCATTATGTGAGGGAGGGAAGGGGGGTGGTGGTGTTATAATCAAGCAATGATTGAAATTCAAATTGCAACTTTTGAATCAACAATCCATTACTTGTTTCAAGCAGAGAATATAAGAATTCGCTATATATTAGTTAAACCTTATTCATTATGGAGTTTAGATGAAAGACTAAGCAGCCTACCTGATTGCATAGACATCAGCTAGAGGATCGTCAACGATAAATCCAGCCAACTTCCATGAAGGATCTTTTGTTTGAACTCTGTTGCAAAGAGCTCTCATCCACTTATAGCAATCAGAAGATGCAAATCTGGGAGATATTATCCATGCTACAGGGATGGCCTTGTTGTCAGGGTTGAACACAAGAAGACTATGAACTGGATACTGGATGACATTCCAAATAAATAAATAAATAGATAAAAGTTGTTTTTTATAATACAATGGTGGCAAGTATCAAATTTTACACAGGAAAGATAGATTTTATAAATATATAGAAAGATAAACAGACCTTCAATTTGTTCGTTCCGAACTTTGAATCAGAGACTAAAAGGTTGCGATTTCCAAAACGAATCATTTGTTGCAACTGCCACTCTGTTTGGATACCCACCGTGAAAGGGTCAGAATCAGAGAAGTCCTCGTAAAAGAAAACATTACTCTGGTGGCTTTCCACCCATGTGCTGACGCTGACAGAATCATCAGTGTCCAATTCATATGTGGAACGCCGAATGCTTCTCTCCTGTCTCCGAACATACCGATGAGTTAACAGGTCATCACGATTACACGGACCACCCTGTCTTTCCACTGATTCATTGTGTCTCTGCATTATGGTCTCCACAGAGACACCCACATACAGCAGGGATAGCACACGAAGACGAAGATCGTCCGAAATATCAGGGGCAAAAACAGCACGTGTTCCAGCAGCCTTTTTGTCCTGTGGACCATGGCATGGAAGGCCCTTCTTATCAACATGCTTATCCTCGTTATATATGATGAGTGCTACCGAAGGTTCAGCAATTAAACGCTTCACAATAAAGTGGCAGGTGCATCCTCTCTTGGTATTTGGTCGACCGGCGTTTTTCTTCTTGGCCACATAAGTAGTCCTACTAGGTCTAACAATGCCACCCTTTCGATGGTCGTCAGGACCAAAGGAGCACCAATACCTAGAGATTTGACAAGATTAACTAAAGCCGATCGGAAGCAGAAGCAATCATTAGCAGCATTTAAAGCAACAAATGCGGGACTTACAGAATATATTCAAGAACTCCATCAACCTTTGGTTTGTACGGCGTTGTTGGTCTTCGTCTCCGCCTTGCTTCAACATGAAACTTTGTCGGGCAGTCTTTGTTAGAGGATTCACCCCTAATAAAATCATCCACTCTGGCAAAGGGGATTAAAGCCACTCTATCTATATTATCACGCCAACCTTCAACCTTTGACCACACGATATCGCCAGCAGAAAACTCCAAAATCGGAGGATTCTGTACAGGGAGGGACAGAATCTCATCCCACCTGGCCATCTGCAATGGAATTGGCAAATTTATACAAACTTCTCAAACAGAATTTGGACAAAGGAATATATATATATATATATATATATATTATATACTGGAAGAGTATTGAAGTGGCCAAATTCAGAACCTTCAGAACCTCAATATCAGGACTTGCTAGCCTTCACTACATAATCCAGTACAAGACGAACAAATTTAGAGTATTCAAGTCCAAACTAAATTAGTTTGATATTAACTTATCCAATATTAGATATTTTAGAACCCTCTTTTTCCTATTACTCTAAAATGGGGCTCAGTGCCGTCTTAAGGGTAAAGCCATCAAGGCAATTGCCTAATGCCCCTTATTATTAGGACTTTTTTTAACTAACTATCCATAAAAAATATATTAAAATTAATCACATTAATCTTTTTTCAAAAATAAAATATTCAAGCCTCAGAATCAGCATTGTCACGCCCTATAACCCAAATATTGTGGTTAACAAATAATTCAAACCAAAATCCAAAGATTTTTAAGGACTGAAAATAGAGGTCTTCTTTACTGCACATGCAAAACCAAGATAATATATAGATATTCCATCAGTTTCAGAACTAACAAGAAAATAATCAAGAAAAGCTCAATAGGCTCGTTACTCGTATATAAGTACTGAGAATTTCAGGATTTTAGGGTTTTTTAAAATCGGATAGGAAAATTTCGGATTAAGATCATTAAAGAGAGAAAACACTACCTCAAAATTTTGTCTCTACAACATTTCTCCAAATTTCGGATTAAGAGAGAAAGCACGGTGTTGAAGCCTAGGAAAGAAAGCTTCGGTTGCGCTTCCGTGAAGAGAGAGAGAGAGAGAGAGAGAGAGAGAGAAAGTGTGTCAGTGTGTTCGGCGGGAGGAACTAGTAGTAAGAGAGGGCAAAAGAGGAAAGGAAAAAAAAAGGACAAAATGGAAAGAGCCAGAATGCGAGATGGACAAGGGCAAGAATTAAGGGGCCAAAATGCAAACTTCAAAAATAATCCCTCCAATTTTTCATTTCTACACCAGGAATATATTTTCAGAAAAAAAAAATGATGATATTCCTACTTTTCATTGACCACCCTTAAAATTAAGGAGTTTATACTGTTAAATAAGCTATTTTGCTCTCTCATTAGAAATTATATTTTTACCGTTAAATTAATTTTTTAACGATTAAATTTATAATAATAATATTTTAATGTAATACGTTATAAATTTTTAATACAGATCATTAAAAAATTAATTAAACAGTTAAAATAATTATCTCTACTGATAGAGTAAAATAATTTACTTCACTATAAAAATTGTCTAAAATTAATTACACAAATTCATAACCACCTAGTAAAAAATAATACATGCAGAATAATATTATCTTAATCTTAATAGTTATAAAATGAATATTATTAAACTAAAGATATATCCTAAACATGGGTCTAAAAATGTTGTTTAATCCCTTATTTTAAATTTTTTTTAATTTTTCATTTTTACGAGATTGGGCCAAGCCCATAAACAACTAGGTTTCATTCATCTAACAAATTTTTTTATTTTATTTTTTTATTTTTTTGATAATTATCTAACAGATCAATTTGTTTCCACGGAGAAGCTGTCTAAAGGGCGCCAATGCAGGCCAGCGCCTCCCTTGATCAGGTTCCACACCAGACCACTCAGAATGTCTGCCAGCGTCCGTGATTCCAAGACGTTAGGGATGTCTGATTCGACGACGCGTTTAGAATTAATTTTAAAATTGTTTTGTTTTTAAAAAATAAAATAAAATTAAAACTATTTTAAAAATTATTTTAAAATTATGTTTAGTTAGTTTTTTAAAAGATTTTTTTGAGTATAATAAAAAAGTAAAATCATGTTTATTAATTAATATATTATAATATTATTGATAAGTACTAAAAAATTAAAATAAAAAAGTGAAAATAACTTTTAATTATTTTTTAATTCCTTTATAAAAATTATTCTTATTGTTTTTGTTTTCAAAACATTTGCTAAACTCATTTTTTATTTTTTATTTCTGTTTTTTCCTCTCTTGAGCACAGAGAGAGACACTAATGAATTTTTTTATACTGAAAATAATATTTTGATAAAACTGCTAAACATATTTTTTAAAATAACTATCTGAGATTGAAAACATTTTTATTTTTATTTTCATACAAAAAATAAAATTATTTTAGAAGTAGTTTCAAACACACCAAAAATTATTTTAAAATGAGTTTTAAATACACTCAATGTCGTTTTATTTTTATTTTCATTGTTATTTCTCGAAATACGTGAAAATCATTTTTAAAAATGTTCCAAACAAGCACCTTATTTTCCCATTTGATTTTTTTTTTTTTTGTGAAAACCCCTTTTGATTTTCAAATACAACGACCAAACAAGTTTTTTCCACTTGTTTTTTTTTTTTTTTTTTCTGATTCCCAAAATCATAAAAATTGATTCCGGCCCTTCATTTTCTCTAAAGCCCCTGATATAAACCCTTATTGAAAGGTACTAGTTTGCTGATTCGAATTTTTAATTCGAGTTAAGATGTGATTTTATGTGAGAGTTTTTTATTGTAGCAAAAAAAATTAAATGTGATTATTTATTAGAGCTTTTTACTGTAATAAAATTTAAATTTTAAACTCAAATCAGTAAAATGAACGAGGTATGTCCTTAAGTTTATTTTTATTTTGTAGAATTTAATTGAATTTTATTTTAAGTTGTAGCCGAATATACAGAAGCAAAAACCCTTCTCCTCCCCGACAGCCAAAGGGGTTTAAGGGACTTCCGCTTCTTCGTTCAGTGCAATCTCCATTGTTTCACCATCTCTTCTTTCATAAATCCAAGTAAGTCTCAAGATTCTCTGTATTCATTCCTTTTGTTATCTAGATTGTCTTCACCTTGTTTATTTGATTTGTTGCTCAGAAGAATTTTTTTTTTTTTTTTTTAAAGTGAAAAGTTTCTGAAATTCTTGGTTATTGGATTTCTTTCTTATACTATACTATGGACTATGGTTTAGGTTTGAGTTGAAATGGCTTTCCGTGTTGGTGCAAAGCGGTCTCTTGAAACTGTCATTTACAACAATAGGATCTTCAAGAGTAGTTGCAGCAGCAGTTCTGGGCACAAGTTTTCAACTTGGGCTTCCCAATGGGGTTCTTTAGAGCAAGCCGCAGAAACCCAAATCGCCGTTCTTGGTGATAAGTCATTTGGGTCTGTTATTTTCTGCAGAAGATTCGGTTCTGAAGCTTCAGCTGTTGATCAATTGGATCTCATAAAGCAGCTGAGGGAAAGGACAAGTGCTCCTATCAAAGACGTCAAGGCTTCTCTCATTGATTGCAATTGGGACATTGGTCTAAACCCCGTTTTGCCATAGATCTTTGTTTTTTTTTTTTTTAAATGTGTTTTGTTAATTCGGTTATGGTTTTGTTGTTGTGATTGGTTGACTATGTAAATGTAGAGGCTGCTCAGAAGGACTTGAGGAAAAGAGGGAAAGTATTGGCATCGAAGAAGTCGTCTCGTACTGCCGCAGAGGGATTGCTTGCGCTAGCGCAGAATGAGACCAAAGCTGCTCTCATTGAACTCAACTGTGAGACTGACTTTGTAGCTAGAAATGAAATATTTCAGTACTTGGTTAGTATAACAAATACCATCACTTTCATAGACGCAGTTATTCCCTTAACAAAAAAAAAAAAAAAAAGAGGAATCATTGTTGTTGTTATCATTATCATTGGTATTATTAAAATCAATGTTTATTGTTATTATTGACATTGTTACCATTGTTATTATGAGAAACAAACTTTATTGATACTCGAACAATATAATAGAAAGTGGACAATGAATTCATCAGAGAAACAAGAACAAGAAACTAACAGCTAAGCTAAACGTTAGCAACCCAAAACATCTTTAGAACAGAGTAATTAAAAAAAATGAAGTAATTACAATCATTATCAGAGTCTTGCTGAGCATCTATTCCATGATTTTACCTATGCTGGACCAGTAAAATCATATTGTTTTTTTTTTCTTTTATGATACCTATTGTATTTTTATTACAAGGATTACAAAATTTAAGGTTTTCCAGGCTCATGACTCTGGACTTTCCTTCAATTTTCTATATAGGCTTTAGCTTTGGCGAAGCGAGCTTTGCTAATTAACAATCCTTCTCAGCCATCTTCTGAGGTCCTTCCTGTTGGACCTGAGCATTTGGAGGTAAATAAATTGTTGTTCCTTTTTTGTTACTTCCTTGCCTATATTTCATTTACAAGTGACATAATTTCATATTCCATATGACAATGCTTCTTCCCCGTCAGCATGATAAATTTTGGTCAGGAAGCTTTTATTACTACAGTTTTAACTTTAATTGCGGCACTGACAAAATAAGAGCATTGATGAATGATCATAGTTGGAAACAAACTCTGGTTGTTGTGTGCATCAAATGATAAAAGGTTGCCGCTACAATGAACCGGCAAAACTGGAAATGTTTCAAATGAAGCACCTGATAACTAACTATATAAATAAATAAGATGAGTACTCCTAAAATCATTAACTGCTCGTGGCTTCTTTTCATATCTTGGATCTTGATAATATTGCTGTTTCTCTTATAATTTACTCTGAATCCTGAGAATGAATATGCAAAATGAAACAGAGCATATCTTATATTAACCCCAGTAATGTTTTTAGATGGTTGTACTTCAATCTATTGACATATGACTAGACTTCCAAGAGAGTTTTAACTGATTGGTGTCTCAATCTGATTAAAATGATTTCATTCCTAACAGGAGCTTACGTTAAATCTTGAACATCAAAAACTGTCTGGCGAAACAACAATTCAGAATGCAATTACTGAACTAGCTGCAATTATGGGTGAAAACGTTAAATTAAGGAGGGGTTTTGTGATATCTGCATCTCCAAATGGTGTTTTGTCAACCTACCTCCATACAAGTCCTCAACCAGGTAGTTATCTCAAATGTTAAATGAAGTTCATTTACATGCATTTTACTAGTATGCAGACAGGTCACAAATGTAATAAATTTTCTAACTTGATAAGGCGTTAAGCAATCCACTGGTTTAAAATATTGGACCTTTAAAGAAAAAATACATTTTTTCACGGGACATTTATTTGATTTTTCTATCCAAAGGTTTGGGTCGGATCGCTGGAGTTTTATCTCTTGAAGTGGAGGATGGAAATCTTCAATCAGAAGCTCTTCAGCAGACTGGATCACAATTGGCCATGCATGTAGTGGCAGCAAAGCCTCAATTTCTGACAAAGGAACTTGTGTCTTCTGATGCATTAGAGAATGAGCGAGATATTCTTAAGTCTCAGGTAACTGGTGATCTCCATCTACCTCTAAGCTTAGTTCAGTGTTAAAGACAATATCAATATGATTTTCAGAACCAAGATTTAAATCTAATTAGTGTGTAATGTAGATGCAGAATAAAAATCTATATGTTTTTTTTTTAATCTAATTTACTCCTTTCTGTTTTTGTTTTGTTCCTTCTTATGTTTAGAGGATACCGTATTCTCTATACCCCTGTATTGGATTATTTCAGCAATGAAAGTCGTTGTTCTTATTAAAAAAATAATTCACACACTTATTTTCGTTTTGTTTTTGTACTTTTAGAATTTATATAATGTGTATTTTTTTGTTTTTTTCCTTTAGGCTGAAAGTTCTGGGAAGCCTCAGGTAGCCATAGAAAAAATGGTAGAAGGTCGCTTGCGCAAATATTATGAGGATGTTGTTCTTATGGAGCAGAAGTTTATTGTTAATGACACAATCAACGTCAAGGTATCACATCTACGGAAATGGCTACCTGGTTTCGCTGTGAATTCTATGACTTTATGCAAAGTTTCTAAACAGTATAGGCATAAATCTTTATCAGCCTGATTGATTTTAGTGATTTATAAAGTATGGTGTGTTGCTAACAAATGCAGCAGAGCAACTCTGATGTGCGCTCTTGCATGTGTTTGTGAATTTGTGTTTCGGATGTCTTTTGCAAATGGTTACTGATGCTTTGAAAACATTTTTTTCCAGACATTATTAGACAATCTATCGAAAGAAGTTGGATCACCTGTTAAGATTGGGAGCTTCTTCAGGATGGAAGTTGGTGAAGGAATTCAACGGTAGAAACTTTCTTGCTTGTTAACATGAATTTTTGGTCTGCTATTTCATTTTTTCTGATATTTCAAGTGCTGCTGGCTATATTTCGAGAAAAACAAGGTTTTGGCCATATCAATTGTCTTTTGCTGTTGATTCTGTGCTCTTTTAATGTGCTGTTTGTATTCTAGTAGTTTTCATCGTAATACACTATCCGTGATCATTCATAATACGGTGGTTACTTAAGGCACTGGCACCTCAAACTTCGTTTTCTCTGTAGTGAATTGCACCACTTCCATTGCCATAAAAATGACTTGTTCAATTCCTTTTTTAAGGTTGTATATTGTCCTAGCTATGTAGGGAGATTTAGGCATAACTAGTCGTTTTTATATTTTCATTGTCATTTACTTTAGCTTATTCACTTAGCTTTATTTTGTTATAAGTTTGTCGTTTGTGTTAGTGGATATTTTGCTATCGTTTTGTCTGTTGTAATAGGGGACTTTATATTTTTTTCTTTTTTTGATATAATACGGGATTGAACCCACAATCTCCCCCAAACCCCACCCCATCCAAACCCCCCATGGCACTAGACCAAGCGGTCTTATGCATAGGGGACTTGATAATTGAGATATTAAATACTAGATTTGAGTTTTCTCTCCAATTAGGGGGTTTTCTCCTTTTTAGAATTTCTTTAAATAGGTTTAGACCTTTGAGCCCCATCTCCCGTCCGGGCTAGGCCGGTAAAATTCCATTATATTCATTCCGCTACATCACCTAGTCCCCTTCACTTGAATATACTATTGATTTAGTCATATCTCTTGATGTACTTAGGGACCTAAATTGGGGAGTGATGGGATTTTGTTTTCCATAGATTTTACCTATAATAATGAGATGCAAACGAAGGGATGCATTTGGCGATTTTGCCATGCTTGTGTGAGTCGCAGGACACATCATGTTATGTGACTCTGGGTATGTAAGACAAATACCTGGACAAATAGAAGATAGTGATTTAGTTGTCCTAAATTCCTAATCGAACTCTAGTTAAAGGGTCTTCAATTTTTTTTTTTTTTTTCAATGATTCTTCCCAGTGATCTCTACTCTGGTAATTCTATATAATTGCATAGCATTCATGCTTTGTTAAAACGCTTGGCAAGATGCACTTCATCCTCATGAGTCATGAAATCTGATATGTTCTTCGTTTATAGTTCTTTTGTTGATTACTATCGTTCTTGTATTTTTCACATTTCTATGCTACTTCTCTTGCGTGTTCGACTCAGAGCGCCAGAGGAACGGTTTATTTTGTCTAACACAATGCCAGCTTTGTTACAACGTCACTAACTATCATCTAATTTGCAGGCTAGAAACGCCCTGAAGCTGTTTAATTTATGAAGGCGCTTCATATACAACGCGTTGCAGTCATTGTTAATTGCAAATTTTTATTTTTTTTACGGGAAAAAATAACTTATTCCTTTCTGAAAGCACATAATAACAGAGATCTGATGGGACTAGTTTGGTCTTTGTTCTGTCCTGTACTGGCCATCTGATCCTGCAAGTAGAAACTTTAATCATGTACTAGATTTGATTTGAGCTAGTTTAAGGATCATATATAAATTTGCTCATGGAGATTCTTGTATGGAAGTAGTTTCTGATGGAAACGCTCAAACATGTGAAATTGAGGTATGAATTATATACTTGTTTATGATGGGATGAAGAATTAACTTGGTGCGCCAAACCAGTTGTTTCTTTGTCGTCTGAAACAATCCACAAAGAGAAGATAAAGAGGACATACTTGATTCTTGAAGCACAAGCACCAGAAGATGAATAATTACTCAATTGCAACACTTTTTTTTTCTTTCCTTTTTTTCTTTCTTGGATAGAGTCTTTGAGATTACTTTATCTATTCACTTTAGTTTCTTTAGGGGTGACAATTTGTGTTACGTGTCGTATTTTTATCGTTTCTTTTTAAACTTGCAATTAACCCGAACACGACTCATGACACGAAATTTTTTAAAAATCACAACACGAACACGACACGACACAAAAATGACCCGTGGCACGAAATTGACCCGTGAACCTGAAATTGACATTAAAATTGTGTACTTTTATTTAATTTTTTACATATTAGAAATAACTTAAAATTCATAACACACTAAAATACAATAACATCCATTGAAATTAAGCAAATAATAGTATAAAATTTTGAGTATAACTATCATGATATCATAAGTTTATAATAAAATAAAAAATATGTAATGAAAAATATATGTATTTTTTAGTTTTTTACGAGTTTCGTGTTGTATTCGGGTTAGGCGAGTCCAACTCGAAATTAACCCGTGTTTTTCGTGTCAATTTCAGGTCAACTTAATTCTGACCCAAACTTCTTTTTTTTTAACCCTAACCCGCAAAATTCGTGTCGTTTTCGAGTCGTGTTGTCGTGTCGTGATCCATATTGCCGGCCCTAAGTTTCTTATGCTTAAATTTTAATGCACGTCTTAGGGCTAACCGAATGCAATACTAGAGGATATTATTTGTAATGCCAATGGTGATGAATTTAGCATTAAGAGTTTGCGTTTCTTCTAAAGAAAGGATCAACGAGTATAGTTACGTGTATGACAAATGTTTTAGTAGAAAATTTATTAGTTGGTAATTACGTGTATGATAATTACCAATAGCCTTTTGAAGTTTAGCTGTGACAATTAGTTATTAAACAACGGAATACTAGAGTTAGGTATGTGCTAGGTTATAGCTCCAACAGCTAATCATCATGATAAACAAGAAGAATTAATTTTTTGATTATAGTGAATACTGAATGGTGTTAAATATATAAATAACAACTATGAAGAATATTTCAGATATTTTATTTATAGACTGATGTTTTATACCATTCTGTTAGTAGGACCAAAATGCTCAAAAGAGAACCAACAAGGAATGTGGTTTCACAGAACGAGAATTATCAAACCAACCAAAAATAATTGTGAGTACGCCAGTACGGAACTAAAATTTAAATATTATAAGGGATCATAAATAATTTTGAAAAATTATCACTCCTTTTGTTTTTTTTTTTTTTTTTAAATTTAAACACTTCTTTTACTCCTCATATTATCCAAATGCCTCAAACACTTCTTATGTTTATAAAATCAGACTCAAAATACTCTTTGAAGTAAATTTTTTTTTTAAATACCAAGTTTACCTTTCCCAACTTTAATTAAATACAAAATAAGAAAATTATTAAATCAAAATATTAAATAAAATCAAACTTAAAAAGTTGAAAATTCTCAAAATAATTGATGTATTTGTTCGATTGAAATATATATTTGGACATTTTTAATTTTTAATTTAATTTGTTTAGTTGGGTTGTACTTAAAATTACATTTGATATACAGTGGGAAGGCTAATCTTGATATTTAAAAATTTTTAATTGCTTGAAGCGGTGTTTTGGATCTTATTTTTAAAAGAGGGAGTTTGGGGCATTTGTATAATAAAAAAGAGAAGTGGTATTTAGAGAAAATCTGGGGTGTGTTTTGGGTATTTTCCTTATAATTTTCATTCTACTAATTGCTTGATAGGTTATCAGCAAAAGAAAGGGGCAAAAAAAAAAAATGCTAGTGGGGTGGAACGTAATCCAATAATAAGAACTAATAATAGAGGACTACATGAGATGGAAAAGATGTATAATGCCAGAATATACACATAACTCTTTTGTTCACTTTTCCAGCCAAAAACAAACTCTTTTGTTCACTTTTTTTAGGTTTTTTTGGACTTTCTTAGGTACGCTAACATACGAGTATATCAAGTTTTCTATCTGTCAGATCTGCATAAAATCACGTAAAAATTAAAAAGTATACAGATTTAACGGTTAAAAAAATCTAGCATACCAATACGCCAGACGTACTAGAGAATCTATATTTATTTTTTCCTTAAAATAACTAATTATAGCTAACCAGCAACCACCATAGCGTTAATATCACTAGATTGCTAGTATTTACAATCAAAGGGCGGAGTTGGTCCTGGCAAAAGGGGCTCCTCAGTCCTCATATTTTATTGTCTAGAATTTTAATTCTTTTACAATTATTTCTTTAATTTGTTTTTATTGAAATTATCTAATTATAGTTTTTACATAAATGTTTATAAGTATTGTTTAATTTTTTATTTCTAGGTGTACTCATATTTCAAAGTTAAGACTTCCAACAAACTAAAACTCAACTGTACTATTATGTGTTTATAATTTTTAGATTAAAATCTTAAACTTTATGCTTGGTTCATACAATATATATATATATATATAGATAAATGAAGATAAAAAATGATAGGCGTTAAAGACAATGTAGGTGGGCTGTTATTTACATTTTTGAGGATGAGATCTTTTTTAAATTTTACTATTTGTAAAATGCTTTAAATTTTTTTATTATTGTGTTTCAATATTCTAATAAAAATTATTTTCAAAAAAGATACTCTAATAAAATTTTACTTTATGTCTAGGAAGTTCGTAAAGAGATCAAAATAGGAAAAAAAAAAAAAAAAACCCAAAAAGTAACAACTGATCATGAGTTGTTTGCCGTGTTTTTATATTTTAAGCTCGTAGACTAGAGGTACATAAATCAAAGGAACGGTATTTTATTAACAACAAATATACATAGGTGATAGATTATTAGAATTTTGAGTGATTGTCAAGAGGAAATATGGAACGAAAGTTTCTGGGAAGCGTGATACCGATACGACCGTGACACACATTTAGGGCATATGATATGATAATTGGTATGAAATGATGAGCTGCACTTTTATATTTATATTTATATTATATATATATAAGCATATGTGTAACCGACACCGCCTATATATATATATATATATATAATAAAAAGAATGCAAAATTGTCACGCAAAAGCTTGAAAATGGCTTTACTCATTTGCAGGTCAAATCCCAAACTCACATGCTTTCCTATATATTTTTAGGACCCAAGCTATGTATATGTTAATTGTACTCGTGAAACAGTTATTAATGATATTGTCATATCATCTCTAGTATATATATATATATATGTGTATATTATGTAAATTTATCAAATTAGCATATGTAAGATTATTGTTCCACTATTAATACAAAGATATTACTGTCCCCTAAGACTTTCTTGTTTACAGCATAGCGGTTTAGAAGCCCATTCTGTTTCTCCTTAATTATTAAAAAAAGAGAAAGAAAGAAAGAAAAGCAAAAACAAAAGCGTTCCGTGACTACATGACCTAGTGAATATTATACGACTGTCATTTGAATTTATGGGAGTGTTTAAAATTGATCTTATTTTTATTTTTTATATTTTTTGAGAAAAAAAAATAAAAATATTTTTAAAACGGTATTTGGCGCAATAAAGATAAAAAATAAAAATAAAAACGATTTTTTAATTTAGTGTAAAATGAGAGAAAAATAAAAAATAATTTTTAGTCGTTTTTCATTTTTTGTCTTCGTTTTCTCCTCTCTCGAGTAGGGAGAGAGAAATAGAGACATTAATATGTTTTTTTATACTAAAAACAATCTCTTGATAAAATTACCAAACGCGTTTTTAAAAATAATTTCTGTCTGAGATTGAAAATGTTTTCATTTTTATTTTCATATAAAAAATAAAATTATTTTAGAACGAGTTCTAAATGCGCCCTATATGTCTCATATTGTGGTAGCCATATTATTATTCGTCCTTATTGTAGGATTTTTTTTAAAATTTTATTTTAGTTATGATCTCGTACGTACTGCAAACCACACAATAGCGGGGAAGTTGACAATTTGTAGCAAATGGAATGATAGCGCATATTATTAACCGTCGCATTATGTAATTGTCATGATTAAAATATAGTGATGATGACTTTTATATGAACAAATTGATAGGAGTAGAAGAATTTACTCGTCATGTACCTAAAACTCGTGAGAATAAGACCAAATAAAAACTAAAACTGGAGAAAAACAAAAAACAAAAAAAAAACGACAAGAAACAGAAAAAAAAAAAAGAAAGAAACGAAAAGGAAGGAGAGCAAATTCGTAAGTGGACCCAACACGTATTTAGCAAAGAATATTTCAAAATAGATGATATATCATAATTAAACACAAACTATGCTGACAATTACACGTATAAACTAACAATAATAATATATTATATAACCATAAACTAACACAACTGGAGTCGCACCTTCTATACATCTTCCCTCTTATCTCTGTTCCAACTTTTAGGGTGTGTTTGGTTCAAGAATTCGTGTAATGGTTTGAATTATGGTTCGTAGTTTGTTATAGTATTTTTTTTCATAAAAAACACACATAAATAAAAAATGGTTCTGAATCATGATTCTGAATCTATCAACTAAACGTCCTTAAGCTCAACTTAAAATATACAAATAAAAAATAAATAAATCCAACGCGGACTCAACCACACAATGTCAAACGACATACAACTGGCTCCTAATTAGAATCTTTAATTGCATATAAAAATCTCTCAAGCGAGACCCATTCACGTTCCTATTAGCACTCGTATAAATCTTCAAACTTCAAACCTTAACCATACACATAATATTACACACAACTAACCATTTTTCTCCCATCAGATCACAACCCACAAAAGACTTAGTCCTATCTCCACCACCAACATTAAAAACTCTTTGTATCTTTTCTTTCAATTTCACCCTCCAAATTAAACACACATGGGAAACTATGTCTCGTGCACCCTATCAACCCTAGGAGGGAAACAACCGGCCTGCAAAGCAGCCAAAGTCATCTTCCCCGGCGGCGAACTCCGGAAGTTCGACGAGCCGATAAAGGCCGCCGAGCTAATGCTCGAGATGCCGAACTTCTTCCTTGTCAACTCTTGCTCTCTGCAGATCGGGAGAAGGTTTTCCGCTCTGAACGCCGACGAAGACCTAGAAATGGGCAATGTCTACGTCATGTTCCCCATGCAGAGAGTGAATTCCGTCGTCACCGCCGCCGACATGGGCGCCATCTTCCTCGTCGCGAAGAAGGCGGTTTCGGGGGGGAAGAAAAGGGTTTTGCCGGCCGAGGCCGGCGAGGCGGCCGTGGCGATTGGGAATTTGAGAAAAGATAACATTGATCATGATCATGTGGCCGCGGCGCCGGCGCCGAAATTGAATTTAGATGACATCGAGGACTTCTCGGCGCCGGAGTTCATGCATAGATTGTCAATGAGCAGATCTAAGAAGCCATTATTGGAGACTATTGTAGAATAAGAAGAGCCGGTTTTCTTGAGATGATGATCAGGAGAGTTGGTTTTTGAAGTCTCTGATTCTCTCCCTCTCGCCTCTTTTTTTTCCTTTTTTCTTCCTTTTTCTCTTTTCCTTTTTCTGGTTTAGCAAAGCATTAAATTAGTGTAGATACAGAAGTAATGTTAATTGGTATTTTTTTCGTAGTGAAATAGTTCGTTTAATATATATATATATATATTAAGTATATGTATATGTACACCTGCATGATCATGTAACAATTGATTTGCTTTTATTAATCAAGATGAAGTTTAATAAATTTATAAAAAGGCAGGATTCGCATTTTAATCTCTGTGTGTGTGTTTTTTTTCCAATTATTTTTCAGATATATAGGAACATCTGCGAGCCAAGCTATAATGACTTCCTATGGCTTTATCATAATTTGTCTCTGTAATTGTGGGTCATACGCATGTGCTGAACACGACTCGAGCACCTTACTACGCCTCCAAAGGAAAACAAATGAAAAAAAAAATAATAATAATTGTTATTTAATTGATTAAAGTTGTTCAGCATATATATTGGCATCATAATTCGGCAGTACTATCAATTTTTGGTTTCGTTCTAGTGATGTTTCAGGATGTGTTTGATTGATTTTTCTTTTCCCCGTTATTTTCTTTAAATCAGCATATTGCAATAACAGTGACAAATAATAATAATAATAATAATAATAATAATGTGAAATACATTTAGGGCGCATTTACCAAACGATAAATAAATGAAATAGGAAACATAATGAGATTTAAAAGAAAAATAAAGTAATAAATTTAAGAGTCATTTATTTTCTTTTAAGTGTTTACCTACTACTAGATAGTGTAATGGAAAACAGTCTCATTTGCTTTCTTATGTTTACTAAAATTAGAAATAGTAATTTCATGAATGTAATCACTAAAATGTTCTTTTATACAATTTGATAGTCATTGATTATATAGTATAATTAAGATAATAAGTAAATTTAGCATTCATAAGATAATAAGTAAATTTAGCATTCATTTTCTTTAACAAAAAATTAATACTAAAAGGATGTAAGGATTGTCATTTTTTTCTCATTCTCTTTATTATATAGAGCCCACTAAATTTGTATTACTGATTTTGTTAGTAAATATATTATTAAATGAGAAAATGAATCACTTCTCACTTTTCTTTTTCCCTAAGTAAACTTAGTTTTTTTAAGTCAAAATTACCCTTTGATTAGAAAAAGGTAGGATTTAACGTAAATTTAAAATGTGAAGGTATGAATGTGATAAATTCGAAATAAGAATGTGATGTTTTTGATAATCTTAAAATGCATGATTGAAAAAGTGAGAATATCTCTTTTTCTTTCTATTGTCATTTCTTACTTTGTTTGTCTTCTTCGCAATCACAAAATTGTAATTTCTATATTTTACTGCCGTTTTATATACTCGTGATATATATCTTTTGGTTTGTTTAGGTGTCGTCTAGTTGAGAATTTTGTTTAAGATATACTCGGTCCACAACTCTAATTTAATCTAATAATACATAAAAGAGTCAAAATCTCTTAAATAATACTCTCTCTTTAGATTGTCACGTGGCGCCTTCTCATTCTTTTTGCTTTTTTTCCCTTCTTTACATTTTTATCTTTATTCATTTTGTCTTTTAAATTTTTGTTTTTTTGGTTTTTGAAATTTTTTTTTGAAATTTTGCTCACTTTGCTCCAATAAACCGAATTTCTTTTGCATGTGTGTCCATTTAATTTTTTTATTCAATAATTAAAATAATTTTCTTCAAATGTATGTGTACTTAATTGTATTATGTATATTTCTTGTCATATCAAAATTTAATTTTACACATTTTTTTTCTATTGTGCTCTCTTAGAGCACTTTCTAAGCTGCCATGTGGTAGCCCTCTACACTCTTTTTTTTTTTTTTAATTTTTTCTACTTTTATTATTTTTTTATAATTTAGTTGTTTTTACGTATTTTTCTCTTTTCTGATCTTATTTTTTTATTTTATCAGGGGCTCTATTATAATTTATTATTGTCACGACTATCTATATATCTAATATGATGTCTAACATCTAGAAGCAGCCAAGTCAACTTAGAGACCACATCCTTCTTTTTTTCCCTTCTCTTTTCTTAAACTTTTCCTCTTTTATTATTATATTTTTTTCCTTTTTTTGCCTATTTTCTTTTTATTTTTCTGTTAATATTCTTTGACAATTTTTTTTTTACAATATCCTTCTTTAAAATACTTTCTTATGATTAAAATAATCCTTTCGAATACATTAGTACTTCTTTTTTATCAAAACCTCTAATATAATTTTAATTCTTTTTTCTTTTTTAAATTTCCTCTTCTCATCTTTTTATTTTTTTTGTTTATTGATTTTTTTCCTAACATTCTTTGACCGTTACATTTTTTTTTACAATATTCTTCTCTGACGTACTTTTCTTTCCTCACTTTATTTTAATTAAAATAATTCCATACTTAATTTTTTTTATTGGTCAAAAGCTCTTATATAATTTTAATTCTTTTTCAATATGATTTTTTTTTAAAAAAATTTCTCTTGCTTTAATTATGGACTTAACCTCAAACGAAATTGCGCGTTTTAACGTGGGATTAAAATTATCGACGTGCTATGCACAACTAGTTAATAAAAGAACAAAATGAAGAGTATATACTCTTTATTCGTCGTAACTCATAGCGAAACCGTGGAAAATCCCATTTCTTTCCCGCCAAAAGAAAAGACCAGAAAGAATGAGCGCGAGCCAAATGCTTCAGAAAGAAGCTTCGGGATTTTCGACGCCCGATCGTAGCAGATTCAAGAAGAAATTCAGTCCAAGATCTTTGGTGTTCGACTCATCTGCCGAGATCTCCAAGCAGAATCTCAATGTAGACGACATTACCAATGTAAGAATTACATCTTTGATCCTAGTCTTAATACTTCTCGTTCTTCGACTTTTGAATTTCGATCTGATATTTCTGTTCGAATTTTTGATGCTTTTATGTATTTTTGCACTTATGTCGATTGTTTATTGCGACGATTTGATTCTTGTTGAGATTATACAGAACAGAACGAATCATCAAGTTTCTAGCCTTAATTTTGATATAGCTCCCTCCGATTAGGTTTGGTTTGCAGGGCTGTTTGTTTGTTTATCGAGAAAGCAACCGTAGGAAACTGAAATTGAGTAGCGGAATTCGATTGTAGTTCATTCGATTTTGAAATTCTCGACTTCTTCCCTTCTGTTTCGTAGGGCTTCACGGCAAGTCCGTCCGATCCAGACCTGTCAGCTTCACCAGAAATCTCGCTTCACTCTGAACTAACTCAGTCGTCGGAAGTCAAACCGGGTCTCGTCTCTGCAGCTGTCGGCGATTCGACAAGCTTCAACTCCTTGGAGGCGGAGATCGCCGTCGGTCTTCTCAGGAAAGCCATGGCTCAGGTGTTGAAATCCCCTAACGCGGTGGATTCTCAATCTAGAAAGCTTCTCGAACATCTGATCCAGGTTGTGATAGAGATGCACCAAAAGGATCCGGACGAGACAGACCGAATTGGAAAACTCCTCCAGGCCAAAACTCGCATTGTCTTGGTCTTCGTCTTGCTTTGCAGCTTCGCAACGGTGGTTACTTGGATCTTCAGATCCAAATTGCAAGGTTCTTTTGGAAAACCTCCTCCAACTTAAAATCTTGCCTGTCTCATATAGATTCATTGAACAGCTTTATCAATACTAGTTACTGGTTTGTTTAAGTTTCTGAAGTTTGTATAATGCACATTAACATATAGGAGTCAAACAAAGAGGAGGAACAGTAGTTCGGACCTAAACAGTTTGATTAATACTGGTTTGCTTAGTTTTTTATAGCCTTCACATGAATTTCCTTTGCTATTAATCACCGATTACGAAAAATAAGAACAGGAGACTCGACATGTATAAAAGATGCAAGTGCTAAGCAATACTAACAGAATCAAGTCAGAAAAGTTGAAATTCTGAAGGAATACATGTTCTAAAAGTATAATTCTATAATCTTGCCACGGTACAACTCTCAGCCAAGCTTGTTTTCATGATATATATATA